CAAGACAAGATAAATTAATTTTGCACATTAAAGAGAGCACGCCACGTACTATCTAGTGGCTTTCCCTCCTGATCTATAGTATTGTGCTTCTCAATTTCAATTGACTCTCTCATTTTGCGAGAGAACTTGTGACTATCAATCGCCAAAATGGTTGCTTCGTCCCATTTTATACGATGGTCGTAAGTCCAAGTATGTTTAGCCACAGCAGATTTATCTTGCTCGGCTTTCTTGCAATTCGTCTTGTGTTCCTTAAGACGTACTGAGAGATTTCGACCAGTTTCACCAATGTAAACCAGACCACATTCACAAGGAATGCGGTACACACCAGGTTTCTGAGATTCATTTACATTGTCCTTATATGTGCAAAGAGCTCGAAACAATTTGTTTTCGCTGGAATGGTATACCTTTATACCTGCTTCATTCCTCAAAATTCTTTCGATTTTGTGTGAAGCCGGGCCAATTTCGCTGTGGTACCCCGTGTTCTACCTAAAGAAGAATTTGTACAACGTTTGGAACCGAAGTTATACCACATGACGAACGATGCAGCTAGTAACATCCGCGTCCAAATCACTGAGGTTCTACGACGTGCAACGCTTCCAGCTTCGAATTTAACCAAGAATAAGAAGGATGCATTGAGAAACTTAAGAGCAGATAAGTCAATACATATTTTAAAGGCTGATAAGGGTAACGCTACGGTTATTTTAGATCGTCTAGAATATGATAATAAAATCTTGGCTCTTTTAAACACTTCAACTTATAAAGAGCTTAAAAGAGACCCCACAGCTAACATTGAACGTAAAATATGTTCCAAACTATCTGGTTTTAAAAAGGCAGGTATTTTGTCTCAAACACTTCATAATTGTTTGAGACCTTCAGCTACTGTTTGTCCAAAATTTTATGGTTTGCCTAAGATACATAAACCTAATGTCCCACTAAGACCTATTGTAGCGTCCATAGGTTCGCCAACGTATGCTCTGGCTAAATATCTCGCTGAGATATTGAAACCAGTTGTTGGAAAAACAGAACATCATGTAGTAAATTCTAAAGAATTTGTAACAAAAATGGAACAAATTAGACTGGGTAAGAATGACATTCTAAGACCTATTGTAGCGTCCATAGGTTCGCCAACGTATGCTCTGGCTAAATATCTCGCTGAGATATTGAAACCAGTTGTTGGAAAAACAGAACATCATGTAGTAAATTCTAAAGAATTTGTAACAAAAATGGAACAAATTAGACTGGGTAAGAATGACATTCTGGTAAGTTTTGACGTAGTTAGCTTGTTCGCTAATGTTCCAGTTGAAGAGGCTTGTAATATCGCGAAAGAAAGACTTCTTTCAGATAGTACTTTATCTCAAAGAACTAATCTTTCTCCTGAGAATGTTCATGATTTGTTGAAACTATGTTTGACCACGACATGTTTTCAATGGCGGGAGAAATTCTATGAACAAACAAACGGCGCTCCAATGGGAAGTCCATTGTCGCCTGTTATGGCTAATTTGTTCATGGAGGAATTTGAAAAGAAGGCCTTAGCTACTGCAAAGTTGAAACCTGGTTTCTGGTTCAGATACGTGGATGATACATTGAGTAGCTGGTCTCATGGACTAGATAATCTACAAAAGTTTCTAGACCACATTAATAGTTTGCATCCATCGATCAAGTTTACTTTTGAAGTACAGAAGGATGATAAAACTATACCTTTCTTAGATGTTCTTTTCACTATACATGATGATGGGTCGCTAGGACATAAGGTTTATAGGAAACCAACACATACAGACAGGTATCTGCATTATAATTCATTTCATCATCCTAGTATCAAAAACTCTGTGTGTAAGACACTCATCAACCGAGCGAAAACAATTTGTGAGGTAAGTAACGTTGACAATGAATTAGAACATTTAAGAAATGTTCTAAAAACGAATGGTTACCCACGGCATTTCATAGATAATGCTATGAAAACGCCACAAAGTATACAGCAGAAGATTGAGTATCAGTCGTCTGTTTGTCTACCATACATTGGCCCGGCTTCACACAAAATCGAAAGAATTTTGAGGAATGAAGCAGGTATAAAGGTATACCATTCCAGCGAAAACAAATTGTTTCGAGCTCTTTGCACACATAAGGACAATGTAAATGAATCTCAGAAACCTGGTGTGTACCGCATTCCTTGTGAATGTGGTCTGGTTTACATTGGTGAAACTGGTCGAAATCTCTCAGTACGTCTTAAGGAACACAAGACGAATTGCGAGAAAGCCGAGCAAGATAAATCTGCTGTGGCTAAACATACTTGGACTTACGACCATCGTATAAAATGGGACGAAGCAACCATTTTGGCGATTGATAGTCACAAGTTCTCTCGCAAAATGAGAGAGTCAATTGAAATCGAGAAGCACAATACTATAGATCAGGAGGGAAAGCCACTAGATAGTACGTGGCGTGCTCTCTTTAATGTGCAAAATTAATTTTCTTGTCTTGGATGCGCGCGCGTTAATTGGAATCACTTCACTACGTTTGGAATGACGTGGTTGATGTGCCGTTTAATTAAATTTCAAATGACGCGAGCCAACAGATCACGACACTTTTGTATATAAAAAGAGCGTGTGAATTAAACAAGTCACATATTATTAGCATTGATGAAGATCCGGGCTTACGGATCGAAAGCTTTGCAGTAATAAATTTACGTGGTGTTTCCACAAACAAAACCTATTATATTTTATCACCATGCAAACATACAAAGAACTTATTCCTGAAACAGTTAAATCCGATGCCGTGACAAGTGTAACTGGCCTAAACGTCTATGTTTAACACACCCTATACGCTCTACAGAACCAAACATTTTTCGTTTGAATAGTTTTACAGTATAACTCCATTCATTATGATTGCTTTATACCTTAGTTTATTATCATACCTCGCTCTATTAATCCAATTCAAATGCTACGTACTGTACCACACGTTCCACCAAAGCTATTATTTACGTGAAATCGATTCAACGTCATATGCATGGTAAATATAAGTAATCACGAACCTGTCGAAATTCAACTGTAAACGGCCCAAGATAAGCAACAATGGCGGACGATAGAAGAACATCACCAACTATATTATTATACGTATCACCAAGTTCCTCAGCGCACTGTGGATAAATAAATTAAATTAAATTTGATGGTAAAAACAGTAATAAATACATTCAACTGAATTTACTTTGGTTGTACAGGTAAAAAATTTCAGAGACCCTGATCATTTATCCACCAAACATAATCTGGTGAATTTAACAAGAGGGTAAATTAACTATAGGCAATAGGTTAAAATAAACAGGACTATTAAGTTAACCAGGAAATGTTAACCAGTGTTTTTAGAGTGTAAGTAATTACCTGGACCCATCTTGATTTCTCTCCACCCAATCCTTTTAGAAGTTTCTCAGCTCTTGTCAGTTTCTCGGAACATAATTTAATATTCCGTTGTAAATCCTGATATGAAGGTGAAAAAATAACACCTTTGTAAGGGAATTAAGTCAGAAACATTTCTACATAAGAAGCAAGTCGTCTCCCATGTTACTCGGGGCTACACAACGGTCAAAGTCATGTTACTTGTGCTTGCAGAGAAACTGTGAGCATGGCTGCGTTTCACTCCACAAATATTTCATTCTCATTCGTTTAATTTCATTTCGTCGTTGCCGCAATGTACTGTAAGTGAAGAAAACCTCGGTAGAGTAAAACACGGTTCACGCTCATAATTTCTCTGCGAATACTTATTACATAACTTTGCTTCAACTTTATCTCCAGGAATCAACGAACAACAACTGGAAATGAACTGAAGGGTTCAATTTGGGTTGGAGGAAGCGCACAGGGGTTTGTGAGTAGGCGGGATCACGGAGCTCTATAGATGGCCAAGATTGTATAAATTGACGTCCAAAATCTAAGAAGGTCGGAAACAGATTTCATACCATTTTTCCAAGCTAATTTCAGTTTTTAACGGATCGTATCGTTAATCATGTATCAGTTCATAAAATCATAATACTATTCTTTGAATCGAAGTCAAAGTACAACATTTTGGCACACTCGATCTTTGCTCCAAATGTATGGGGAGAACACTGTGTGGGATGGAAATTGTGAGACGCCTGAATTGTAAGACATTGTGGAAAAGGTCAGTGTCTTGGAAGTTGTGATGTTGCATATTGCGATTGGGTTAATTTAAATGACATTTGACTCAAGGTAATTCGAATATAACACGTATTCAACACTTCAGGAGGTAAAAAAATAACCGCATCGACGAATTACATTTGCAATGAATTAAAGAATGCTTATTGTTTCTTTATTTCTATAAACATTGGTAAATATTCTTAACGCTGCCTAATTTTTGGTTAATTAATAATTTGACTATAATCGAACGGATTAATTTTTATTATAATATTTGTAGGAAATGGGACAAGTATTGTTGTACCAGATGAAATGAGCATGCAGCATGTGACGATAATTAATCTTGGCCCGATTGACGATATTTGACGACAATTAATCTTGGCTGTTGACTGATCTTAGGAGGGGACGGAAGTAAAACATATACAAGAGACGTTTTACTTACTAGATTTTAAGAGACATCTTTAAGCCAAAGGGTGTACAATGGGATATAATGCAAACAAAAGTGGGGTTAAGAAGAGAGTGAGTGAATTACAGAGTAGGAAAGGAAACCCCGTACACGTTTCGACCTAACAATCTTCTTCAGCAGGAATCTTGTAAGGAAAGGACGGAGGAAGAAAGTAGGGTATAGGCAGGCCGCGAAATCCATATAATTCGTTACTATAGACCCAAATTATTATATTTGTGCAAAAAATGCTTCTTCTTAGAGGCGTTTGGCGTTAAATACAATTTTAATTCACATTCTACACAATCAAATTCCGCTTTTACAGTTAACGGGATGTGATAATTGAGTAAACAATTAATTCGTCAACATATCTCACCTTCTTCTTTGTAATTTTCATATCATAGTTATCGTTCAGAGCCTGAAGTTTCCCTTGAACCTCAGCAAGCGCGGACCTTTTTTCATCCAGATGACTCATTTGAACATTCAATGCAGATTCCGCTTCTTCTAACTTTTTCTTTTTAGGAGCAACAAGCTATTGAAAAATATGGGAGATACTGCAGTGGACAAATATTTAAATATGGTAATACAAGGCAATATTCCAATACCTGTATGGAAACTGCTCAGGATATCCGTTAAATATGCAAATTAGGATAACGACCTGAAGATCTGGTCAATTTGTTAATATGCGCGCATACTTCATGGTAGTGATACAACTACCTGAAAATCATCAAAGCGAACTTCGACGTTTCAAGCGAAGGCCCTTCGTCGGGAAATCAGTAGATAATATCGTCGCTACCTACACTGGCACGACCGTTCGAGCATTATCTCTACAACGTTTCTGCTTCGTATGTGCATGAATCAACTCCGGTATGATTGCTTATAGCGATCCTAATTTGACTTTGCATCCCTAGTTTAACATGCATCGTGAATTTGCATTATAACATAATGTTCCATCATAATTTTGAGGCAAAACTCCTTGATTTCTGATTATTTTAAGACAGCGCTCTAATTCAAGATGGTGAATGCAGTTCGACAAGAAAAGCGTTAACAATATAAAACATGAGGAAGAGTAATATGCATTTCAGTAAAGTTTTTACTTAATATATTAATTTAATTGGTATCCAAAAACAAGAGAAAAACAAAACTCCACAACCATAACTTGAGTACAATAAGTGCAATCATGAGTACACTAAAGCAAGGAATGAAAGAAATGGCAATATGATGTTCAAAAAGGGGGTAATATAAAAGAAATACTGGTCAACGTTTTTAGATGCATTACGATTCTTTAATAACAAAACGCAAATAACACCAGTCTTCTCTTCGCCTATTCGTTGTTGTGTGTGTCCTGCGAACTTTCAGTATGACTTGTTCGTGAAGCCTTGGCTAGCGAAAAGGAAAGGATTCCACTAAAAAAATTGCCCCTTGGTTTGAGTGCAAGCCCCTTACCTTTGCAACTCTGTCATAGACTTCAATTGCTCTCACCCAGCGACATAAACCTTCACATGCAGATGATATGTTCTTGATCAAAGCTGGATCAAACGTCGGACTGCTTACATATTTTTCACGAATTTTCTTGATCACTGGTGGTGATATATTATCCTTATCGAAGTCCTTCAGGTTCTCAAGAAACCTTAGGTCACCTAATAACTGAAGTATAACCACAAAGCGTTACGTCAGTACAGCAAATTAAGTTTGTCAGGGTAATATTCAGTTCTCAATGGCAGACTCTAGAACATTGTTCTGGAAACGTCGTTTCTTATCAAAAACCAAGAATGTTTCCGAAGAAATTAAGGTATTTTGTTTCCCAAGTATTCGTTTCTGTGACTACGTGTGTTTGTCCAAGAATTTGTACAATGGATGACTCCACGCTTAATGTTTCCCAACCTAGCTTTAACATATAAATTGCACATACCTTTTTAGAAGAAGCCCAGTAGTCTTCAAATTGCTTCCCGTTGGCATCAATCTTCTTCTCAGGTTTTACTCCCTTATAAAAATAGAAACAAATACTGAGATATTGGAAGACTTATTTTCCTGTGTAGGTAGAATGTGATGAATGAACAAAAATTTCGGTGGCTAATAAATTTTGGTGATTTCAGTTCTTTATTTGCCTAATTTTCGAAACAAATAGAAAGAAGGTAAATATTGCGGTAAAAGTCAAAGACGAAGAAATGCATAAACAGTGTAACTGTGTATGAACGATTATGCCATTGCATCATTCATTCTTCGCATTTAAGTTAATTGCATAGACCACTTCGGCTGGTGGCACCATCACGAAAACGCAAGGGAAGCCTGAAAAAACGCTGCATGAGAGATATAAGACGTTTGTCCATAACCAGTCATGAACGTGCAAACATAGATTCGAACTTAGAGAACTCAACATACAAAATTTTTCTTTGCAAATGGAATCCTTAAAAAATTTCGGGCGGTTTACTGCGCGGAAGAATGTAATCATGACCGACCTTAAGTATACATATTGCCTCCATAACCATCTTAACTCCAGCAGGAGGATTTGCCATTGACTTCACCATTGTAATATCATGTTGTTTTAACGTGTTGAGTGCAGCAATGGCTGAGTGAAGTGCAGGCATTGCAACTGATAACTGTTCTTCACATTCATCCTGTGAAATAAAACACAACTCATAATCAGTTTTTCAATATATAAACTATAACTTATTCTCCCTGACTGTTGCTTATTGGTCCAAATTCAATGACGCAAATGTCACGGACCAAATTCAATGACGCAAATAACCAGGTATGCTAGTCATTTTCTTAACCTCAGGCTATATAATGAGCAAGAGTATAATGCTGAATAAATAACTCACGACATTAGAAGACCGATTACCTTTAACGCTTGGGCTTCACTTGCAGCTGCATTAGCTGTAGCTTCGTCCGCCTCTACAATCTAAATAACAAGTTGTTATAGTACACTCAGTTACTTTATTATGATGATTAATATTATCTATGGTGCATTTAATTTCCCTCCAAAGCCTCCGCAAATGAATATAATAGACTGCATCTATAGAAGTTCCCAAGCGTACCATTATACGTGCAAAGCCTTGAACTGATTATTTATAGCTTTTGAATTTAATTTTTTTTCCAAAAGCTTGAAATCGAACCTACGCGCGTGCATGCATGTATACTGGTAAATCATCGCTAATTATGCAAACTGGAAATACTATATATCATTAATTTAAACCAAGAAAACGTCTTTAGAAATGATTATGACAAAAACGGGTGTAAACAAAAAATCAGCCCTAAAAACCTTAGCCTATTTCCAATTTGTGTCACCAACCTTCTTTTTAGCAGCAACCACTTCGGTCTCTGCGCCAATTTTCGTAATCAAATTTTCTGTCTCCTTGCTCGTTTGGATAAGTTCAGGTTGTAGCTCAGTGAGCTCTTGCTGCATAACAGTAACTTGGGCAGAGGCAAACTCTAACTTTTCCAAGCCCACCAAGTAACGATTTCTTAACGTTAAGAGTTGCATCCGTTTCCGACCGAGTAACGACTTAAATGTTTTAATAAGTTCAAGGTACGATGTTGGGGTGACATAACAGCGTCTTCGCAAAATTTCATAATATCTATAAAACCCAAGCATAAATTTTGATAAGTGGAGGGGGGAGGGGGGAATGCTAAGTAAGCTAAATTGCGAAGGACGCAGCTCAACCTGATCGAATTAAAGGGCTGTCTAACAACGCCCCTGTCTGCCACCTTATGACTTATGAGTGATCATGGAGAACAGCTACGGTGGAAGTGTCAGGTGGGGTATAATCCCAGCGCACCCTGTTCACATTCCCTGTTGGAGGAAATCGGAGTACCAGTGAAGCGTTCACATGCATACGTGTCAGCTCTGACGATTGAGCCATCGAAGCCCCGTCAACATAAAATTTAACCTGAAGTTATCCTGTCCTATGCTTTGACTACAAGAGGAAGACTAGCCTGCGTAGCGGCTGTCAGAGAAAGGACAGCCTGCACGAAACCCCCTGCTTTGCCGTATTTACTCGTTCTCTCAGAGGACGAGAAATCTGATTGGTTCAGAATGAAAAAAATATGCTAATTTATGCTAAAATTCATACAAACATGGCGGATGTATTATTGAGAGGCGTTTCTTTGAGTTTTGCATTCAAAAGAGCTTAAAGGCCACGATTTACGGTTCAACAATAAAGGTATTTACGAACTTGGTTCACGAAGCTCTAGAGATATTGACTGTGGTGTCTTCGTTGGATTGCTGTCTGTTAGCAGCACCTCCTTCACAAGCGTGTTCGTTTTCATCAATTCATCGATGACAAATAGATTTTTCCTTCATGATTTTGTAGCTAATAATTTTGTGCCAGGAGAGAATTGCTGTAAATGCTTATGTATTATGAACAGGACTTGCTCTCTATGAAGTGATGGCTTTAGACAAAATTAATATTCTCTTCTCTGCACCGCTAGAAACTTTAATAACATTTAATACATCACGGTTGACCGCTGTCGAAACTATAAATTATATTTGTACGTGTGCGAGAAAGCTACGAAATATCGTAGATACGGACTGCAAACTACTTGTGACAACGATGGAGATTGCCCTAGGCCACAGAATAAAGACATACAGAAGTGTAACTTCCATTACAAAACGGTAAGGCGCTTTTTTACCGAAATAGCTGGCGGCCATGTTCTTAGCAAGTACCCTAAAGAGAGGCATTCACCCCCCTGGAATATTAAATTTTCAATATGTTTTCAGGGGGTGACTGCCTCTCTTTAGGGCACTTGCTAAGAACATGGCGGACTGAAAAAATCCCTTACGCGAAATTAACCTGAAGTGAGATCTCTGTATGTACTTCCTCTGTGCCTAGGCCTAGCGCTATTCCCACAGACTTCGATTTTCTTTAGCCGACATCCGTATATTAATTTCGTTTTGAAATTTGCGAACATACAGCAATCTATATTTATATTTCATTTTGACAAATAAATTTGCAAACGTAAACAATCTGTGTGATTGGCCAATTTTGACATCTGTTTAAAGTGGGCGTAGCCCGCAGGTAAGTGGGCGGAAATGGCAAAGCATGGGGTTTCGTGCAGGCTCTCCTTTCTCTGACAGCCGCTGCGCAGGCTAGAGGAAGACATTTCTCCACTTGTAGTAAAATTCAAGTGAACTCTTTCAAATGATACAAAATCAAAGGAACAAAATAAATTACTCATTAGAGCTTACTTTTCAGATAAAGCTCGCACACTTTCATGGAAATACTTGCACATGAAAACGACTTCTTTACGAACATTATATGACATTTCAACATCGTCCAAAAACTTATTTGCCACCATTTCTAATGCATCTTCTGGCCATGCCTGGTGTAAACATAAAAAATCATGAATAGAAATATATACCGCATGTAGGTACCGTCCGAGGCGATGCAAAGCATATTTTTGAGGTGCACTCATTAAATATTGGGGGATTCGCTGCATAAAAAAAGGTTAATTAAACATAATGACCAAACCAAAACAGATGCGATGCGATTGAGATGTGATGCATGAGACCTCCCATGGAATGTGGCAAGCCCAGGCCCAGTTCAGCAAGACCTGACACTTCCCTTAACTTTTCTATATTTCATGTTATTTTCCAAACGTTGTTAGGGAAGAAACTTTAAGGGAAAGTTACACCTTAACGTAGCCGCCCTGAGCCTGCTCGGCATATTAAGAGCTGGATGAAAGCTAAGTTGAGCTAATTCAAAAAGTCAAGAGCTAGGTCCGAGCATAGAGAAGCCTATTTAATTCAATTGGTTTAGAGCCGAGTTGAACCGGTCTGGTAATATAGGTAAATTAAGTGACAGCTTAATGACGAATGGAACTTGAAAGTCAATCTGATTCGAGGCAAGCTGCATATGATTAATAGCAATTAAATATTAGGACATATATATATATATATATATATATATATATATATATATATATATATATATATATATATATATATATATATATATATATTTTGGTTTTTGAACTTTTCTTCAGACATACAAAGTAAAAACTTTTATTCGTAAAATAAAGTTTTAAAATCCCAAACGTTTCGCCGATCAAGGCTTCTTCAGTGGGAAACTAGTTAAAAGTCATATAATGTCCCTATATATATGCAAGTCCGTCAATACTCAATAGCCAAAATTACAATATATAAAACTAATTAGAGATAAAACGATTGTCTTGATTACATGTACAGGATTAAAAAAATTAAAATTAATTATATATACAAGATTTAAGAAAATTAAAATACTAATTGTATAAAAGTGTTCTCCCAGTACAGCCATTCATAATTTTGTCAGCATTGTTTCGTATCTCGACTGCTTCAATGTACCTTCGCTCCTCTTGGTTGCGGATATGTGTGTGTAAAAGTTTCCAACTTATTTTAGCGTCCTCAGGTCTCTGATTGTGGGAAATTAGAGAGTTTGAGCAAGACAACGAAGTACGAAGACGAAGGCATACTTGACAATTTTTGCCGTATGTCCATTATCTTGCGCATACCGAGTTGGACGTCACTGGTGGTTACACAACGTATCTTCCCATGTGTCGCTGTTTATGAATACTGACCATAAGTCTTGCCCTGATCCAGAAAAAAACAGCGAGACATGAAACTATATCCCGTCTTTGTCCTTCTGCCTTCGTGCAGAACGAGTTTCACAACGAAATTTGCGAAAGTATTCGTTGTGAACGAAGGCAGAAGACGAAGACGGGATATGGATTCATGTCTCGCTGTTTTATCCTGATCAGGGTAAGGATTTGGGTCACCATTCACAAACAGCTAAGCATAAATCTCTAATCTGTCTTCACTCCTGACCCGAAACTCAGAATGTGCAAGGTAATGTGCAAGACAGGCAAAAATTGTCAACCACGTCGTCGTCGTCCGACTTCGTTGTCTTGCTCAAACTCTCTATTGTATACGGTCTGCTTGTCCATTGATAAGTGTTCTTTAATTCTTCCAATCAACAAGCTCGAAGGAAATCGTTAAGCACAGTGACGGAATTGTTTTTAAACAATGGGTACCCCAGAGAAATGATAAGAACGACCATTCGAAATGCGTCAGGTGTAACTACCACCACACGAAATGAAGACGACGAACAAGGTTTACAGTCCACATGGCTGTACTGGGAGAACACTTTTATACAATTAGTATTTTAATTTTCTTAAATCCTGTATATATAATTAATTTTAATTTTTTTAATCCTGTACATGTAATCAAGACAATCGTTTTATCTCTAATTAGTTTTATATATTGTAATTTTGGCTATTGAGTATTGACGGACTTGCATATATATAGGGACATTATATGACTTTTAACTAGTTTCCCACTGAAGAAGCCTTGATCGGCGAAACGTTTGGGATTTTAAAACTTTATTTTACGAATAAAAGTTTTTACTTTGTATGTCTGAAGAAAAGTTCAACAAAACCACAAAAATATTATACCAGACATGTTTCCTCAAACACAGTCATATATATATATATATATATATATATATATATATATATATATATATATATATATATATATATATATATATATATATATATATATATATATATATATATATATATATATATGTATGCATATATGTATGTATATTTAGATCGTAATGCGTCACGATTCTCAAGATAGTGGCGTACAGTATGTAACAAGTAAATAGAAAGTTGGTAATAAATCTCTTACTTGAAACCAATCAATCGTGCAGCAATTGATCAACGAGGGAAACATTCGCAACCTGTTTCGAAAGGCGTCACCAATAGGACTCATTGTCAAAACAATGTGAAGATTCTGACGTATTCGTTCAACAAAGAAGTTATACATCGCGAGAGGACTGGAATCTACATTAAGTTCTCCCTCCTGTACAATAGCTTGCATCTATAATAAAAGAGCAAATAAATAGCATTATTATACTTGATTCTGTAACGTCTCTCGTTCTTCGTGGAGATATTTGGTGAACTCTGCCTTTTCCACTATAACAATGCCAGTGAACTCTGCCTTTTCCATTATAACTTGGTTCAAGCCAAATTAGAAGCAACACAAGAGACACGTGCGAGAAAAATACTCAAAACAAATCGGGCGAGTTCCTAACGGCAACGTAACAATAACTTGTTTTCACCAACATGATTGGATTTTTATTATCCGATTTCATAGTTCCGGCTGTTCTAAATTCACTTTCAGGAAATACTCGATGAAATGCAATACACAATTCGAAATTAACAGTGTACATTTTTGATAGGCAACTTACTGATTTGATACACGTACAGTACCAACCTTTTCAATAATTTCTAGTCGTTCATCATTTGGAAATATATTCGGTACATCACCTCTGTTTAGTATCATATTTATATCTTCCAAAAATAACTCGTCCTATATCAGAGAAACAACATTGTCATCGATATAATAGTTTAATTTAATGTTTTGAAAAAACACTACGTATATTTTTTGGCTATATGAAGATTTCGGTCCGTAAGACCGATCGTCATGGATGCATACGCTGCACGGGACCAAAATAACTAGCTACTTGTAAATAACACTGACTTAAACATTTTATATTCTTATGTTAAATGCTCATTTGATTAGGTGACTTTTTCAGTGAATTGTACGTGTAAATTTGTGGGAAAGGTTTCGATGCGTATAATTAATGCGGGCTTCATGGCTTTGCCAAATAAATTCACGACCCAAAATTATACACAGAAAAATGGCCATGTCACGGGGTATTCATTGTATGGTATCGTAGGCTCAGTAAAGGTAACGTATTTTCTTGTGTTTTTATTTACCGTTATAAATGGGCAATGTTTTCTATTTTTTAACTTTAATTAAATAACTACTTCTTTTCTTATCTCCTTTTATTTCTTACAAGCCTACAATATGCAACTACAAAGAACTAATACCTTGATTTGGTGATCACCAAAAAAGAATACAGTTGGAATTCCGTTGTAACCAGCCTTACGAAGTACTTTCTTTACATCTTCTGTCCAATCAGTTGTGTTATAGTTCTTTGTTATTTCAATTTGAAATATTTCATAATCAGACATAAATGCTGCAAGACGCGCCACGCTGGAGCGGCCAGATCCGCCGATACCTACAACATTTTTAACGAAAGAAAGTAAAGTTGAACTGTCCAAAACAAAATTCTTCCAACTGCTAAGGACTGCAACACATTAGTTATTCATTTAATATATGTAAGGTTCTGCATGTCATGTTATTCCTCGCACGTATGCTCTATATTTTCCTCCATAATATATATACAGTATGCATTAAAATTTCTTCTCGCGAAATGCTCCTGCTTTTCAGCATACCGCTATAAATTTATTATTATATCGTCACTGACATCACATTCATGAATGGGTAGCTTCCAGTACAACAGCACCAAACAATGGATTAATAGTCCATGCTTTTGCTATATGCAACCAAACATAGTTCGAATTCTGATGAATATAAATTGAATATACGCTCGTTTATACGTACTTTGGTGAGGTTAAAACTACTAAATATATGCCAACATACCCACAAGCAAAGCGTGTCCATTTGGTTGACGTAAAACACGACATATCCTGGAAATATGTTCAATGGCGAATCGAAACAAAACTAGATCCATCGGTGCCTTACTGGAAACATTATAGTCATCCAGATAGTTTTCCATCGTCTAAAATGTACAAGAACACATAAAACCACTAATGCATCTGTTAAATCCTACGTCGACGATACTAAACTCTATCTCTCTTTCCCACTGAAAGAACTGAATGATGGTCTTGGTAGATTGAAGGAGGACTTGAATAAAGTTACGGGATGGTGTAGTACAAACCAACTCTTAATAAATCCAGATAAAACTCAGTTTATCTTGTTCGGTGTCAATCAACTTTTGCGCCATGTCCCATTAAACGTTGAACTTCCATTCCTTGACAAAATTCTTAAACCTGCTGGTCATGTTAAAGATTAATTTGGGAATCACTTTAGATCAATCCTTATCTTATTCCAGTCACATAAATGAAATTGTATCATCATGCCATTTTAAGCTGTCTCAAATACGTCGAGTTAAACACCTACTTGATAAAGCAACGCTGGAACTTGTAATTCAGTCACTCGTTTTAAGTAAACTAGTCTATTGCTCGACAGTATGGTCTTCAACAAGTAGGCAGAACATGCAAAAGCTACAACATACTCAAAACTTTGCTGCCCGGATAATTACTGGAGAACCCAAATTATGTCATATTACACCTATATTGCATAATTTATCCTGGATTCCTATCCCCAAAATAATCTATCTAAGAGAGGCAGTGATGACTTACAAGTGTATCAATAATCTTGTACCGGAGTATCTATCCTCAAATCTTGACTCTTGTAGGATTAAGAATAAAGCTTATAAAACAAGAAGGACGAATTGAGACCGCCTAAATGTCGTATAAAAAACACTGAACGCACTTTTATATTTACAGCGTGTAAACTTCGGAATTCGCTTGAAGAACAGGAGAGACAGTTAAAATCTTTACCTCAATTTAAGAAAGCAGTGAAGAAACGGCTTCATGAAAAGTTTTCAAACATTTCAACTTTGAAAGGAACTTATTTTTAGATTTTATGATGTACATACATGGTTCTTATAATGTACTTTTAACATTTTAATATATGTAATAACTTATAATAGCTATTCGCTTTTTATATTGTAAATTTCAAGACGTAATATTGTAATTTAAACCTGAAAAGCCCTACGGGGAGGTTGAATAAATCTACTACTACTACTACTATTCAGGGTAAAATGTAAGAAAAAATAAAATCCTGATATATATAATAGTTTCCTTCATTTTTAAAACGGTATATCGTACCTCTTGCAGTGTATCAAGATCTCGAACTTCATCATAATTTCTGCCAAGCCCTTTCTTACCAAAATAATCACCAAAATATAAACTGTCATTGGAAAAAGATTACATCATTTAACTTATTTAATATTTCAGATTATATAATACCTTAATAAATTTTAATCGTTTAATTGGCTGTTTATGGTCACGTGATATTGAATAGAAAATTCCATTTCCCAAGAGTGCAATGGAACACGTTCCATTGCACTCTCCGCGAGTGCAATGGAATAAAACGTATGGTACAATTGCACTCTTTGTGTTTTCGATAAATCGCATCCCTCAAAATGCTTCTCATACGAATCTATTAGTCTATTTTGGTATTATATAAAACAAATAATGAATGTTTCTTCGTGCAATGGTAAGAATATTTTCATTCGGTGAAAGATAGAATGTTCCATTCAACTCGGCTGTCGCCTCGTTGAATGGAACATTCCATCTTTCACCTCATGAAAATATTCTTACCATTGCACTCGTAAACATTCATTATTTGTATATTGTTATGAATGTTCAGATGAGGGTACACATACTCAAAACATTAATTACTCATCTACTCGTTCACATGCACCAGAAGAAGAAAATCGCGCTAAAAATCGCAGCGAAATTGCGAAAGTGTGAACGGGCATTAACAAAGATGGCCCTATACTTAAGAGCAGATTCTGACGTAAGTTATCTAAAATGAATCAATAAATAAAATCTAAGTCGCATTAGTCCGTACAAAAGTTTGTGGATAGGACCACTACTTTTCTTTCTTTCTCCGAACTGCTTTTATTATGAGGCAATATCATTTTGTGGCTCCTTGTTGGTGAATAAGCAAGCACTGTACCTTCTCATGTCGTCGGCCGTGACTTGGTTTCCAGACGTTGTTAAATGTTCAAACACATGGTTTAACTTCTCCTTAAATTCTGTTGCCAGCGTATTCTATTAGAAAAGATGGCGGAAAGTAATAAAAATTATTTGAATATTTATTAAGTCAATTGCCTAGCAACCCCAAAGGGTTGAATTACACAATTTTACAATCTATAAAACCAACTAACAACGTGTATATAGTACAAAAAAAATCAAGGATTGATATTTTATAGAGAGCTAAAAATGTGCTGCCACTTCTGCGCGGCGCATAATGTATATATATATATATATATATATATATATATATATATATATATATATATATATATATATATATATATATATATATATATATATATATATATATATATATATATATATATATATCGGTTTTTTGAGTTGTTTTTCAGACGAGTGTATACCAAACCGGGCAAGCAGAAAATTCTACTTGACCGCGGCTGGGATTCGAACCCGCGACCTTCGCATTTCTAGAACGATGCTCTACCGTCTGAGCTACAAGGTCAAGCTGATATATATATATATATATATATATATATATATATATATATATATATATATATATATATATATATGTAT